CCATTTTTTTGTCCCCCCCCCCCCCCCTCCTCCCCCCTCTGTGAAGCCCGAAGTTAGCTAAAGGGCTAATGATAACTATCAAAACGCGCCTGCTATTTGAAATAAATGAATAACTATTGACCAGTTGGGATAATTGCTGTGTTTCGATTCAAAGTTTCTTCCCAAATCGCGAGAAAGTGGGATGATCCTGTACCACTATTTCAAGCAGCCTACGCTATCTTAACATAGCAGAATTGCTTCCATGCAGTTGGGCGGACAATCTCAGCCAGTTTTTTTCATTATTGATTATTATTCCCTTGGATTGTCCGGGGCCTGCTCCCATGTCTAGGCTTTCGCGCTCTCAAGAAGATTCCTCTTATTCTAGCAATTGACCTGCGATTTGGGTCGAAGGAGTGAAGGAGGTTGTTTAGTCAATTTTTGCTTTTGCGTCAGCACCAGGCTACATGGATTGCCTTCCTTTCAGTCTATTTGCAACTCTTGTTGCTTGAATTGCAATTGCTAATACGAATGTTGTTAAAAAATTTGTGTGTTTTTGGGGTTGTATTTATATTTCAATGTGTGTGTGTGTGTGTGTATCTGTGGGTGTTTAAATTCTCATTGATTGGAAGTGCTCTTCCACCATTAGTACCTCATCACTGCGAATTTTCATTTCGTGACTCCCCCCCTGTTGACTATTCTTGATTATTGCTCTACAATGGCTACAATCCGATGCCCAGCGAATTCGTGACTTCCGACCCTGTAAATGTGCGTTCGGTGGGCTTTTAAATCTTCATTTTAATCAATACATTATCTGCCATGACTTTACTTATTTCTTCAAAACTCATTTTTAAGTTGTCTTTGTTATTTCTCACTCACTCACTCTCTCTCTCTCTCTAGCCTATTTTCTTCTTCAAACAAATTTTGTACTATTGAAGTATGTTAAGCTCTTTTTGTAATTAGAAACGAAGATTGACAAAAATATTATTGCCTATGGCAGCGTAAGAAAATCCTACGCATTTTCCCCGTAGAAGGGCATCTGAACAAGCGGGGGGGGGGGGGGGGGGGGTGGAGGAGCAAACGTGGTGTACCAATAAGATCGCGAAAGGAGGGTGGTGGTGGTAGAGGAGGAGGCAAAAAAGCAGGTACCGTGGTCATGGCGTCAGGCGTCTTATTTGTGTTAATTGTGAATGCTTTTGGCATCGTAATTCATTTACCATCTTCCCTTATTGTCTGGATTTCATAATCATTTCACTCCGCACTGTTGTGACCACGATATTTCAGGCCTGCTCATTGGTTCCTTCCATTCCGATCTACTTTGGTCTTATTTCAGTTTTGATGAGACCGAGACGGATTAATTTGATCACTGTTACGCCAACTAATTTAATAAAAACTGACCTGATCGGGAGGGGGGGGTGTGAGGGGTGGGTAGAAATGAGAGTAATCGCAGGAAATCGATTATCCATTAACACTAAAATACTCAAAGGGATTCCGCCCTCATGGATGTTATCAGTTAATAATTAACTTTTCATGATGATATTCTAGAGCAGTGTAATTTGTGTTCCTGTCCAATCTTTCTTGCATGCATGCAAATCTCATTTAGATGGCTCAGAGGTTAAGCGTGTTTGCACTTGTTCTCAACAGAGCAATTTCGGTAAAATATACTTCTTTTCCTTTCATTTAAAGGGCTTTCTCCTTTTGTTTCCCTTCGCATTCCTCTCTCTCTCTCTTTCATTTTTAATACTCTTGCCTAGTTTGTTTCCCTATTTCCTTTTTGAGCTTCTAGAGTGCCTTAGCTAGATTTATCATTGGTTATTTAGAATTCATCTTCTGACTTCAAACTTTCATCATCCGACCGTATGTTATATTCGTCTACTTTCATAGTACTCATCTCACCTTCTTTTCTACCTTTGTGTCTATCTCTTTTATATCTTTGAAACGCTCTTCTATTCCCACCCCCTTCTCGACTTTTTCACTTTGATGTACATTCCCCTCTGTGAAGCCTGAAGTCAACTAAAGGGCTAATGATAACTATCAAAATGCCTGCCATTTGATATAAATAAATAAATGATTGGTTATTTATCTCTTACCCACTTTGGTAGCTTGCAAATTTTATTGCGTTGAATGAATTCCAATGAGATCCACAATGCCTCTGTTCGTAACAAAAAAAATCATTTTCGCCCGCTTGAAATTGCTCCTGACGTGGTCATTGCAATTGCCTGAATAATTAAATATTTTTTTTACTGATGTGACAATTGGCTCCTCTGCCAAATCATGGAATTTTTAGAACATCCGCTTTTGTCCATCATCGATTTTATGCATCTTTTTGAAATTTACTTTTTAATTTTACTCATCCTGGTGAGATGTATCATTTAACTTAGTGAAAAGTGGTTGTTTGCTCACTCTTTGAGAGTGAACAAAGTGAGACACAATGAAGTGCAGTAATATACAACAGCAACAACAAAAACTTTAATTTGTTGAATAATTTTTGTACTGTTTTTTTGGAATAATTCCTAATCGTCGTCTGGTATCCAAGTTAAAATTTGCAGGGAAACCGGGTGAGAAATAATCCGGTTGAAAACGGAAAACGGGAGAATTTTATCCCAATGCCACTTGTGCGTAGCCAGGATATAGGAGGGGGGGGGGGGGGGGGGGTTATTGGCCAGACTGTAACATATAGGGGGTGGCGCTCACCACTCCTAGGGAAAATCAAACAATAACCGCAATAAAAATCTGCTATTAACTTTATGATTATTATTCAGTACTTCGATTTGCCTTCCCATCATTACTTCTTTATAGCCCCGAAATTTAAGGAAAGCGTCAATGAAAGGATCTCACTGTTGCCAATTCCTCACCAGGTATGCGCCATTGAAAGCATTGATTCACCACCTAGTTAGTGATGTGGGAACTTCGTGCTTTCACTTTGAAAGTGTGGGTAATTATCTAGATAATTTTGAATTATACATTAATTTCTTGTTTTTTACTTATTTAAACAAATTTAACTTATAAATATAGCAATTTCCTTTGATTTTCACTTTCAGTTCTCCGATGTTCATCACTTGGAGCCTCTTGTGATCCAACACATCGGTGTCTACACCATTTCGCCACCCACATCCCCTCTCGTTCCTCATTCAGAATTACCCTCTGAGTCCCACACTCAGGAGATCGTTAAGCTATCTTCTTTTCTCAGTACCAGTTCCAAACCCCCCTCGACTCGACCTATCATCTCCTCTATCGACACTCGCGCCTCCGTTCATACCATTCTGTCTCACTCAAAGAGTAGTAGTCGTTTGCGTCTCCCAAAGTTCACTTCTATTTCAGCCGGAACTGGCAGTCAGTTAACAGCTTCAACGGCGACCAATACCACGGAGGAGCCACAGAGGGAGAAATCGGCGAGTAGTCCTGCTGCTATCACAGCAGGTGAAGAGGGATTCATTAAAAAGGACACTCCTCTACGCACACTCTGTTCGCAGTTCTTGTCTTCTATGTATGGAAATCACCAGTCAGCAGAGTTTTGGAGACGATGTGTAAGTTGTGTTATGGATTTTAGTGACTATTTTTGAAATCAGTGGTGGTAATTGTGGTGGCGGCGAGAGTTTTGTTTAGCTAGTGAATTAAAACTCCGGGTTTTTGGAGTTGTGTGTGTGTGTATGTGTCTAGACTTGCTAAAATTGGATTCCTATCATTACATAGGTGAAGATCTATTTATTTTATTTATTTTTATCAAACGGCAGACGTTTTGATAGTTATCATAAGTCCTTTAGTTGACTTCAGGCTTCACAGAGGGGAAGGAACATCAAAGTGAAAAGGCCGAAAGGGGGGAGGAACAGAGGAGAGTTTCAAAGATGTAAAAGAGACAGACATAAAGATAGAAAAAAGGTGAGGTGAGTACTGTGAAAGTAGTCGAATATGACATACAGTGGGGTGATGGTAGTTTGAAGTCAGAAGTCAACTGCCGGTTTATAGATTATTTTTTGCCGTATGAGAATACGTTGCCCAGGGTGCACCACATGGAGGTAAGTCTATCGCACACCCCCATCTAGGTGAAGATTGTAAATGCTTTTAGTGGGCAAAATCTTTGCTTTTAAGGTCCAAATTTTAGTGCATAGATTGAGAAACTTTGTCTTGTAGTCGCCTATCATCAGTAGAATGCTTTGATGTGCAACATACGGCTGGTGCTTCCTACCTTGAAATAGGCTGTTTATTTTTCCCTAACCTATCAGTCATAAAATGATTGCATATTACTTTCAGGGTGGAGTATGAGACTAGACTACTTCATTTATCGGGTATAGTGGTGATTTCTGCGTTTTACGGGGTGCTTTTAACGAAATTTAGTTATTATTTTCTGCTTGGTGGAGTGGAATCATTGTCCTGTTGTCCCATTAACTTGCTTCGCGAATATTCCTTTTGCACACGGAAGCTCTGTGTCGACTTACGCATTCTTGCCATCATCTCCTCGTAACGAATGCTCGTCTTTCTGACCCTCCCAAAACTTTACGTTTTTTTCAATAATTTCCATTAATTATTTACAATACACATTCCCCTATGGGCCAAGTTTTCATTCCTCCTTAATTTTTTTTTTAGATTCCTTCCACAAGGGTTTAATTTTGTGTCCAATTGTCAGTTTAAAAGAGTACTACTTTGTTTTGACAGTGAAACAGGATTGGTTTTTTGTTCTGAGGATGATGATGTAGGATTGTCATCTGTATTGCAGAAATTTTCACTACTTTCTTATGAAATTTATAGCAAATGGCAGGCTTTATGATACTTATAATTAGCCCTTTAGTTGACTTCGGGCTTCACAGGGGGAGGAGAAACATCAAAGTGAGAAGAATTCGGTTGGGGGGAATACAAAAGTGATTCACAGATGTAAAAGAGACAGAAAGGCCCAGAAAGGGTAAGATGAGTATTGTGTAGGGGTCGAATATGACATAGAGTGGGGGTGATGGTTGTTTGAAGTGAGAAGTCAACTGTCGGTGCACCATGGGGAGGTAAGTCTATCGCATACCCCCACTTTCTTATGAAATAGACTATACTGAATCAGGATAAATCATTTTTCATCATAGCTGAGTTTTTACGATTTTCAACTGGCATTCTTGTCATCCTCATAATCAATCTATGCATTTTCTAACAGGTAGCGCACTGTGGCCTCTGAGGTGTAATTCTTATTATTTAACCTCTCTCTCTGGGTCCTTTTTATTTCAACAGGATTGATTAATCCATTTACTAGTTCACCATTTATCTCATGGCCTCTGAACTTTGACCTCTA